CCGCGGAATGATGTTACACACATTATTTGCTTCTTTGAGAGAGATCCGAGGGTTTGATGAATGATAAAGGCCGGCATTATCCAAACGACATCACATCACTCCCAATATGCCTGTCACTAAATTCAGTCACCCCGATCCTTATAAGTACCAGACGGGTTTCGACTCGTATCACGAGTATGTATATACATAGTTTCCAACACAAATGAACACAAATGAACACAAATTAATGAATAAATAGGACGGAAGCCGTCGAAGGAGCTCTGCCAGTCGGTCAAAATTCACCACAGAAAGCTCCATATGGGCTCTACGCCGAGAAACTCTCGGGTACAGCATTCACCGCACCCCGTCATGAGAATAAGCAGACATGGGTCTATCGGATTATACCTGCAGCAGCTCATGAGAACTTCGTCGCGGAGGATGCCGACTCGTATCATACGAGAATGACAACCGAGACCCACAAGCTTCACCACATCCCCAACCAGCTGCGATGGAACCCCTTCGATCTAGATGAGGAGGTCGACTGGGTGCATGGACTCCACTTGATTGCAGGATCTGGAGACCCCACTCAGAAGCAAGGATTGGGTATTTTGATGTATGCCGCGGGCAAAGACATGGGCAAGGAAGCTTTCTACTCCGCGGACGGAGACTTCCTTATTGTACCTCAGCACGGGGTGCTGGACATCCAGACGGAGCTCGGTCGCATTATTCTGCGACCAAATGAGACCTGCGTCATTCCTCGCGGTGTTAGGTAGGTGTCTTACCTGTCCATCGATATTATATTGTAATCAATAACTAATCACTTCCATCAGATACCGAGTGACCCTCCCGGATGGCCCTGTGCGAGGATACATCTGTGAATTATACCAGGGCCACTACCAGCTCCCGGAGCTGGGCCCCATTGGATCCAACTGCCTGGCAAATGCACGAGATTTCCAAGCTCCCGTTGCCGCTTTCGATGACGAAGAGGAAAGCGAGTACAAGCTTTACAGCAAATTCAACAATACTCTCTTCGCCGCGCGACAGAACCACACCCCCTTCGATGTTGTCGCCTGGCACGGCAACTACTACCCCTTCAAATACGATCTCGGCCGATTCAATGTTATCGGTTCGATCTCATTCGACCACCCAGACCCTTCTATTTTCACTGTGCTGACTGCTCCATCGGATCACGTTGGTACCGCCGTGGCCGACTTTGTTATCTTCCCTCCTCGTTGGCTAGTCGCGGAGGGTACTTTCCGTCCACCGTGGTACCACCGTAACACCATGTCGGAGTTTATGGGTCTGATTTCTGGTGACTATGATGCCAAGATCGGTGGTGGTTTCAAGCCTGCTGGTGCTAGTTTGCACAATGTCATGAGTGCACATGGTCCCGACTCGGGTGCTTTCGAAGGGGCTAGCAATGCTGAGCTGAAGCCTCAAAAGGTTGGTGATGGAAGTATGGCTTTCATGTTTGAAAGGTTAGTTCGATTTCAGCTATTACTTCCGAGACTTGTCATATTTACTGACAATGATTTAGTGCTCACATGGTCGGCGTCTCGGAGTGGGGTCTGAAGACCTGTCAAAAGGTGCAGCCTGAATATAACGAGCACAGTTGGAAGCCCCTGAAACGGCACTTTGTGGACCCTAACGAAAAGGCCTAGGCTATGGTTTTCTTTTCGGTCACTGCAATGAGAACACGTACACATTTTCAAATAACTAGTTCTATAGCATAACAAGATAACAAGATAGCAAGATAACAAGATACCAGAATTCAATCAAATCTCTCAAAATGGGGTTTCATTATTGCTTCGCTATTCCAAATGTGGATTTAAAGTAATTCTCCATTTTACATTATCTTCACCGGTCAAGCTCCTTCCTCATCGCCTCCTTAACAATAGCCCCACACATCTTGGCATAAGGATTCGTCTGCACAGAAAGCTGCTGCGCAATTTTATTCCCATAGCGACCCCCAAAGAAGAAATCCCGACTAGCCATTTCCTCAAGCTGATCAGCTGAAAGTCCACGCAGACGCTCCGGCCCAGCCTCGTCAATACCAGAACCAGCCTTCTTCACACGCGCCGCTTTCAGAAGCAAGTATCCCCGATGCGTGTGCGCGTCAGCCAACAACCGTCCCTGGGTTGTTGAGACCGCATCAGCAGGGGAGGCGGGTGTGGCTAAGGTTATGGCTTGGCCTATGTCAGAGAATATGCGGGAGCATAGCTGCGAGGTTTTGGGGGCGAATATGGCAGCATCGGCGATCTCCGTGGCAGTGCTCTGATCACTACCCGCTTCTGTGCCGTAGATCAGATCAACCAGCAGGCGGAGAGTTTGTGCCCGGTTTGTGTACGCAGAGGGATATGTTGGATGCTGGGTAAGGAGAGTGTCGAAGTCGTTCAGTGCTGACTGGACTATCTCTATACTTGGTGATTTGTTTGATTGCAGCTTGCGGATGATGTCTGTTTCGCGCTGCTTGAGCGACGCCAAATCTGTTTCAGAGATCTTCAGGGATGATGGCCATGAGGGGAGCGATGAATCAACGGTGACTCCTGACGATGGAGAGGATTCGGCATCGAATAGAGCTTGTAGTACAGCCGAATCATTAGATGTCAATGACGGGCGGGCAGTTGTGATAGAAGTCATCTTGGGATTTGATGTTGAGGTAAACGGTTGAGGGAATATCGTGAGATTTAATTTAGAATAGGATCACTGCAGAATACTAGTTGAAGAATGAAACCAAATGTCTCAAGAATTAAGGATCTAAGACATTGAAACGTCTTCGGATATTACCAGGATCTACAGGATCTCAGCGGGCCCGGATATCTCCGGGTATTTCAGGGTCCTAGAATAGCCGCACGGCCAAGGATGAAAGCCAAGGCGTCCAGGTGTCAAACAAGCGGTTTGGGATAGATATCCGCCGGGATAAAGTGCGGTTACCGGGTGATCATTCATTTAAAAGAAACGGTAGTGTACCTAGACTTGACTTCAAATAACTCAACTGCCGCTCATCTTGTACTACCATCTTTCTACCAATATCATCATACAAACATAAAAGATTCAGCAATATGGCTCCTTCAGCTATTTCCAATAGCCCTCCTCCCTCAGTTGCCGGCGAGGCATCCTCGGTGGCCAGCTACCGCGGTTACGACCATGTCCACTGGTACGTTGGCAATGCCAAGCAAGCCGCAAGCTACTATATCACCCGCATGGGCTTCAAGCGTATTGCTTACAAGGGCCTCGAAACTGGCAACCGCAATATCTGCTCCCATGTCATTCGCAACGGTGATATCACCTTCATCCTGACCTCCCCTCTCCGGTCTCTTGACCAAATCGAGCGTTTCAATCCCGAAGAGCAAGCCGAACTACGGGAGATCCATGACCACCTTGAGAAGCACGGTGATGCAGTCAAGGATGTTGCCTTTGAGGTTGACAACGTCGATAGTGTCTTCTCTGCTGCTGTGAAGAATGGTGCTAAGGCTGTCTCCAACCCTAAGGTCCTTGAAGATAAGAGTGGTCATCTGAAGACTGCTACTATCCAGACTTATGGCCAGACCACTCATACCCTTATTGAGCGCAGCGAATACCGTGGTATCTTTATTCCAGGCTACCGTGCTGAGAATGGCAATGAGGATCCCATTATACAGTTCTTGCCCGGTGTTCATCTCAAGCATATCGATCATTGTGTTGGAAACCAGGACTGGAATGAGATGGATAAGATCTGTGAATAGTAAGTTGAGACCAGATTGTTTCATTGAACTTCATTTACTGATACCACTGTTTAGCTACGAGAAGGCTCTTGGCTTCCACCGTTTCTGGTCCGTCGATGACAATGAGATCTCCACGTAAGTGCTCTAACGTGTTTTAGCTGATCACGAGATACCATGACTAACCTCATTATTATAGTGAGTTCTCAGCTTTGAGTAGTGTGGTCATGGCCTCACCCAACGAGATTGTCAAGATGCCCATCAATGAGCCAGCAAAGGGCAAGAAGCAATCCCAGATCGAGGAATATGTGGACTTCTACAACGGTGCCGGTGTACAGCATATTGCCCTTCACACCGACGATATTATCCGTGATATCACCAACCTCAAGGCACGTGGTGTCGAGTTCATCAAGGTTCCCGAGACATATTATACAGATATGCAAGCTCGCTTGAAGGAGTCTGGCTTGGTACTGCAGGAAAGTTTCGAGACCATCCGCAGCTTGGATATTTTGATTGATTTCGATGAGGGTGGCTATTTGCTGCAGCTTTTCACCAAGGTATGTGGAAACTATTGATGCCAGTATTCGTAACTCTATACTAACCTGACAAATAGCACATGATGGATCGACCTACTGTGTTCATTGAGATCATCCAGCGACACAACTTTGAAGGCTTTGGAGCCGGCAATTTCAAGTCACTATTCGAGGCTATCGAACGAGAGCAGGAACTTCGCGGTAACTTGGTTTAAGGACTAAAATATTTGGATAGTCGGGCATTTTCCATTTTCTTGATGAACCCTTACAGTTTTAGAATTTGCATTTTTTTTTAGCGAATTAAGGACTTTCTCTCAATAACAATTTTTGGACCATCTTACCGTCCGCCGAGTTTTGTAATACAGGTCGATAGATACTTAAGAGATATAGGATCGTCAGCCTTTGTAGACTCCGGCTTCCTAGTGGGTAATTGGTTGTTCTACGAGCGATGACAGATGGTGAGATGTATACTAAGTAAAAGGCTAACTGATGGAGTGGAAAAAAGAATATCTGGGGCTATGTGAGCACTACAAATGGAACTGAACCCCAGCTAACAAAAAGGCTATACCCAGTGAACATGGGATAAGTGTTGTGTGGAGTTTCTTATATGCTTTGGGAGAAACAACAGATTTAAATAAAGCAATTTTGGAATATTAGAAGAACAAGTACCTAAACCGAGCAATCCGACCCAATTCACTGATCTCATCACTTTCCTGAACCCATTCCTAAACGCAAAAAGAGTAATCCCTACCATGCCCTAATCCTCCATTGACCTCCAAGTCCAACCTCAATCGGTGTATCGATCCAACAAGTCCGAAAGCTCACGCCAATTCTGTCGAATCTTATACCAATGTATATCTAGGCTATTCTCCAATACATTTATCAAATCTAGACTAGCATCGACACCGTCTTTGGCCATTCGGTTCTCTGCACGTTGAAGTTGCTCCATCAAGTATGCTTCCCGATCGAATATGGCCTTTGATTCAGCGAGAAAGCGTTTCTTATCATCCAAGCATTTCTTCTCCATCTGTTTCAACTTGTTCCTTGCCGCTGCATGGTTCGGTTCTTCTGACAACCACATTGTCATAAGACCTTAGGGTTTCTATCAGCGATGGAAAAGGGGGTGTGTGTGTATTTGGATGAAGACGTACGGAAAGCAGCACAACTGCTTACAAATAATACCACCCATATAGCAACGCAGGTGGCAGATTCTAGCTCTTTTAATATCATGTATGTTAGCATTTTGTGGGTGTTGCTAGATGTTGAGTCTGGTTGTGCGGGTAATCGGCGAGTAACTGACTTTTCACGGATAACTAAGGCAAGTGAGAATGAGATATTGATGATGTTATGTTTGGGTTTGCGCTACTTAGATTGAAAGATTTTTTATGATAAATTGATTGTGCCTACGTACTTTCACAGCACACTCAAAACCAGGTTGAAATATATGATAGTTTTAGTCTCACCCTTATTCATTTACTTCCGCTTCGATGAACTTGAAGTGGGAGGATTGCCTCCAATCCGCTTGAATTTCCTCGGATCTAGAACCTCATTAGACAAATGCACTCTTAGGAACTTTGAAATAAATGGCATACCTTTCCGACTCATCAAAGCCCGATTTCTTGTTCCTTTTCCACCCTCCCAGAACCCACTACCTGCCTTTCCAATCAGGACCGCTTTGCAGATACCGCAGTTCTCGGGCCTGTATATTTGCTCGCGGGAGCAGTAGCCACATATCATGCGATTTGCGTGTTCGTTGGGGTGATCGGTTTCCGCGTCGTGGCATCTAGATAAATCAATAAGCATGTGAAGAGGCATGGGGGGATATCCAGTGGGTAATCATACTTGTCGCAAGGGAAGACCTTTGAGCAGCAGCTGAATCTGTAGGGGGTCAGTATAACCTGTTTGTAGTGCTACCAACTCATCAATCGCGGATCACATACCTGAACCAGCGTTGACTCTTGGCATAGTGCTGGCAACGACCACGTCGCGGAAGTTCTTGGCCAGCGACAATACCGAGGACTTCCTGAGGCTGAGATTATTGTTAGATTTTATCTTGATGACGCGCTGTAGGTTGAACAAACCTTTCTTTTGGCAGGGAGACCTCCACGAGAAGTGACTAGATGGTACAACAATGAGCAAAAGCGTCCGTATCGAGTTAGATCTATTAGCACTTACTTGCGGCACTTCCCACCAAAAGGAATTTGACCTCAGGGATCTTGAATACTGAATTTCGCATATGTTAGTAGTCAAACAACAGACACTGTGTATTAGACCATACCCATTTTGCGATGGCACTGGCGACATATACCCATAGCACTCTCGCCGCGAACTGCAGGTATACCCGGTGCCGGGTGGGGAGTCGAGCACTCGGAGCATGTTGGGATAAAGTCGCTATAATAAGACGAGTCAACAAATGGAACTTTACTGATATGGATGAGTAGACTAACCTAAGAAGCATATCCTCAATCGTACAGCCGCCCAATTCGAGGTAGCCAGCACGATTAGCATGAGAATGCATCAACTGTCTCCGGAACGCTGCACACGAGTCAGTAAACCATCCCGAAAAGAAGAATGAGACTGAGCGTATACTCACCGACACTCATATTATTAGCGCATTTCCGGCACGACTCCATCTTCGGCATGTGACCCTTCTCATCGGTAATTTGTGGTACGCTCTTGATATCGATTGCTACCTTACACCTCTCACATTTGACTGTGATATTGAGGCTCATGAGTTCCAGCAGCTCAATTCCGTAGAGCTCTAGGAAGGGAAAGGAAAGTGCGACACCTCGTCCGGGCGCGTTGTTGTCCACTGATGCAGGGACGGGTGCACCGCCTTCCTCGTCTTCCTCTTCATCTGAATACTCGTCTTCCTCGTAACTAGACTCGCCTGATGTCCCCTCGGCACCACTGGTGGGATTAGGAACCGACCATTCGGGTGGCCGTGGAATGACAACAAGATGTGGCCTGTCTTCATTATCTTGAGTTGAGGATACGGCAGGTGCTTTCGTAGGCTCCTCCACAACCTCGTCCTCCTCCCCTTCAATAGCGGCAGGTACAGCTTCAGTGGGCTCCTCCTTTAGTAAGGGTGTTTCAGCAAATTTATGAATATTGCTTGCTAGGTAGTTGACCTGAGATACCAGACTTAACTGCGACGTCTGTTCTACCCATTGAGTGAATCCCGCTTCTGTGGCTTTCACTTCCGGGCCTTCGACTCCCTGCAACCTGATCGAGCTTTGCTCGAGAGGGTAGAGCTGTGGCACAGTCAATTTCACAGTTTTGAGTGCTTGAAGTGTTCGCGGTAGGCGATCCTTTTTGGTTGGCTGGATGGGAAGAACATAAGTCCTGCCATCTTGCAGTTTTTGGTACATCGGTAGTCTTCCAAGGCGCGCCTCGAGCTGTTTGGTCTCGGTTGCCCGTCTCTTCTCAGCTGCAGATTTTGCTTCGGCTGTGTGTCTAGGTACCACATTTAGTACTTGTGGTACTGGCTTAGAAGCAGCACCTGGCGTTTTAACATGATCTTGAGACGAGCTCGGTTGGCTCGAAGTCTTCTCCGGGGCCTTAGTGAGTTCTTTAATTGTGGATCCGTCACCAAGGTTAGCAAAGAACTTCAGCGTTGGCCCACGCTCCAGGGTAGTTAGCAATGATTCGAGCTTTCTGTCTAGACTGTTCAACCAGCCCAAAAGGGTTCCTCGGCCATTGGTGCGGTACGTAAAATCGACAATATCATCGAAGCCTCTAGCGATATTTGTTTGATAAGGAGCTTCCATTTCAGAATTGGTCACTGCAAGCGTGGGACGCCCTTTTGGGTATGAGCTTGGGACTTGCATGATACATTGTAGTCGTTCAAGCTCAAAGGGGAAGTCCGGATCAGAAGGTACCAATCCAAAGGTCAAAGTAGTACCCTGGGCATCATTGACTTCCTGTGGACGATAACGCCGTCTCAATTGATTGATTTGGAATTCTCTTGGGTCTGACTGCTCCAATTTGGAAACGGGCCTTTGGGGCTGGACAGGAGCAGCGGCAGAGCTCTGCTTCCATTGGTTCTCACCAATATCCAATTTCTCGGTCCGAGTGACAATGGCTTGTGCCGGACTCCGGCTTCCATTTGCCGGGGATTGGGATGGTGTCTGCTGTTCAGATGAAGGCTCCTTAGCCTCAATGGCCGAGGCATCATGTAGATACGGACATGCTGCTCCAAGTCGGCATCCTTGAACAATGTTAGCATATGATTTGAACACAGCGCCTTCCTAGCAAATGACCATCACCAAGAATACATTCGCAAGAGATTATGGCACGGGTCGATCATGCAATACTGTTCATAACCTCGGTATCATTGACCATTTGGGTGAACATGGCAGATGCAGTGTACAAGCATTCCCGAAGGGGCCTGTTTGTGGTACCCGTCCGTATTCAATGACGCGTCGATTATAGTAATGACAAAATAGGCAAAGAGATCTTACAGACAGAAACTCAGAACACAAACTTACCCTTTTTGGTTTTGAAAAAGCGACATTTCTGCCGCCGGGTCGATGACAGGCGAGCACCCGTTTCATCAGTGGATGCAACACCATGCGACCGGACCGCTGACAACTCATCAGTTGTCAAAGAGGACGGCCGGTCTGTACCTGTTCAACAAAAGCATGATGAGCGTGTGATCGAAAAATATTGCGGGCGGCCGACTCCGATCCGGACATATTGGCAGACCGGGGCCACCCTGTACGCCAACAAAGTCCTAGGAGATAACATGGGAATTGATAGACTTTGTGGTGGATGCAACATGTGGTGCATGGACATGCAACGGCTGAAAATACGAAAGCCTGTGGTCTGTGGAGGTCGACCCAGATAATCTACCCCAAGTAGATCTCATGGAAATGATTGGGAGAAAAGCTTCCGGCCAGATGGCTTTTACGAGCCAATAATAGAATTATGCTTGACTCACCTTGGGGTTGGGGTGCTGGACCCGCATTGTCAAATGACCTATTCTCCATGCTGAAACTGAGCCTCGAGCAGTGTTGCGAAAGATGATCCAGAATGGAATGGCCCGGTTCTGGGCGATTTGGAGGTGACTCGCGCTGCCAACGCAGAGATCGGGTGACCTGGAGGAGATCGACAGGACCAGATCTGCACAGTAAGTAAGCCGAGATGTGCGACCGTCTGAACTGTAGCTGTAGCGATCTTTGAAGTCACGGCGCTAAGCAAAAATAATTAAAAAAAGGCAGAAAACTAGGGAAGAGAACCACGTGACACGTAAAATGTCAAAATAGGGCCACAAATAAGTAGTGGTATATCTTAAGGTCTGAAGATATGAAGCTATACAAGAAGTTATAGTTGTTTACGGTTTTGCTGGCTGTCAAATGCCAAGACTTCAGGCGGAACCGATGATCTCATTCGCCTTTCTTTGACTCATTTCCTGTCATACTATGGAGTACGGAGTACTGTTAGTCACAATGAATCGATTTTGAAGTGGATTGCAGATTTCTAGCTGAAGATCACTAGAACGTTCGTGGGGGTTCTAATATGGAGTGCTTTGTGGATCTCCCCTCATTAGTGCCTATATTTACATCGTATGTGGTACGGGCACAATGTACAGGTTCAGACTCGACAAGATTAATAATGATAATCACTGCAGGGCCCTCTAGAGCTCACATTTAATATTATCTCGAGTATAGCATTTGTCATTGCACCTTCCGATCCCAACACAATGCTGTGGCGTCCATGTCTTAAAGCACAAAATCTGCTCGAAGCCATAACAGGAAGCAAAAACCCCAATCAAGCACCAGCAATAATTGGCAATAATCGCCCCTGCACGTCACCATTGCATACAAACTGGATAAAAACAAGAAGCCACCAGAAAAAGAAACTAGAAGGGAAACAGGACCCCGAATTCCAGTCTGCCAGCAGAGCATATACGGCACGGAGCGCGGCATGCGCCTTATCTCCCACATCCATGTCGGGGGATATCCCCTTTAACAAGGGTCCAATCCCGGCCAGCAAGGCCATGCTAATATAAGAGAAAAGGTAAACCTTCACCCAGAGAGGAATACGACCCGACAGGCGCAACAAGATTGCAATAATATA